AATAGTGGTGACGGTGGTTAAGACGGATCTACGCCTATATATGAATTTTATAACAAGAAAATTAATGATCTGAAATCTTTATTACAACGGAATAATGCTTTTGTTGAATTGTTGGTTAGGAATATGTCATTGTCCTCAAAAACTCAAGTATCTAATTCTACTATGACTTCGGATTCTATTGAGAATTTGATAAATGAATTTAGATTTGATCCAGAAAGTGGGATTACTTTTGAGGCGTGGTTTAAGCGCCATAAGGATTTGTGTGTTGATGATTGTAAAAAGTGGAACAAAGGTTGTAAACTAAGATTATTACTAAAAAAGCTCGAAGTTTCTGAACATGAAAAGTTCTGTAATTTTATTATCCCAAAGAAGCCAGCCACCACAACCTTCAGAAAAACAGTACACTGCCTGACACGTATATCTGGGGAACAATCATCAATTTTTCACACTAAATACCATTGTCTGCAGCTGGTAAAAGAAAAACACAGGATGATTATACGACGTATGCAAGCACCGTGATCCGGGATTAGGAGCAGTCCCGGCTACAGAAAATGTCCTCAGATAAGTTTAAATGCCTTATTTTTGTCTGTAGGTTACAATCTTCAGTAGATGCAGACATCAGAACACAGATTTTAGCGAGAAACGAAAAACATTCCAATATCAGTCCGCAATCCGTATTTGAAGAATGTTGAAGAATGTTGCATTTAAAGTGTGATACAAACCTCGTAGAAAAGAACAGTGGACACGTGGAAGTTAGTGCTTTGCGGGAATCTTTTAATGGGAATAAGGGTATGTTCTCCCAGAGAATCCTAAATCAAGTGAAACACCAAACGTCTTGTTGGAGATGCGGTGAGTATCATTCTGCTAATGTTTGCTATTTTGAAAAAAGAGTTTGTTTTCAATCTGGTAGATAAGGCCTTGCTCAAGTATGTTGTAGGATCAAATCGACCGTCAGCATAAGTTCCGTAGGGGAAACAAGACGCGGACATCAAAAGAGATACCATATAACTCAAATGTCGTTATAACCACAAAAAGTGCTCAATTCTCATCTAAAAGGAAGTACGTATTTGTCTTTATTAGTGGTAAACCCGTTAAACTGCAAGTTCATACGGGGTCTGATGCAACATTAATTTCTAGGGAAAATTGGATAAAACTTGGTCGACCTCAAATCCAACTAACATATTATAATGCTAAGCGTGCCACAGGAACCAATATTACTCCTCTTGGAGAAATGCAGCTACCTCTCACATTGAGTGATAAGAATAACACTGACAAATATTATACTTCTGGGAACTATCATACCAACTTATTAGGTATTGATTAGATAGGTTAAATTGGTTGAATACACCGAAAGTAGAATCCCATCTATGGCCAGAGACGAATAAGCCTTGGGTCCGAGTACACATCGATTACACTGGACCAATAAACAGACAATATTTTTTTGGTGGTGGTAGATTCATACTCTGCATGGCCTGCACGAAGAATGTCTACATCTGAAACGCTGATACATCTCAGACAACTATTTGATAGGTTTGGAACACCTAATGTTTTGGTTTCAGGAAATGAAACACAATTTACATTGTCAGAGTTTGCAGATTTCTGTAAACAAAATGAAATTGAACAGGATATAACCTCAATGTATCAACCTCAATCAAATAGGCAAGTAAAAAAAATTTGTTGACATTCTTAAGCGAACTCTCTTAAAGATGGTAGAAGAAGATAACCTAGAAAAAACTCTGCAACAGTTTCTTATAGAATTACACCTAGTTCAAACTATCAAAATGGAATATCACTCAATTGAAATAATATTTGGCCGACAAATTAGGACGTTTTTCTATGTTTTAAACCCTATAGATTACCAAAAAAAAAATAAGGGAATTTTCTGAAAATTCTAGAATTTTGAAGCAGGTGACTTAGTTTATCCACATGATTTCTAGCCAGGAAAACCAAAATAGATACTTAGGTGTATTAAAAACAAAAAAAAACGTGGGAAGGTATTGTATAAAGTGACGGTTGAAAATACACTAATTATCAGACATATAAATCAAATGAAAGATAGAAAATATGTTAGTGAGTTGTCTAAAAAAAACCCAAACATTTGCCAATGGAAATATTATGTAATACATCTGTTATTTCACCACCACCACCACCACAAGTTGAAATGAGCTAAAAATCAGAAGCTATCCGAAGATCATCAACTGAATGGAAACGAACGAGGTTGTTTTTTTTTCAAATAAACCCAAAAGTGAAGTCATATGAATAAACTTCGCGAGGGAGGTGATGTGTAGGCGAGAGAATGATAATTTTGGTTGTTTGCTTAGTTATATATTCTCCTATCCTTATTACTATTATTGATTGTGTCGGGTTGTTGTTGGCTTTTGGTGTGAAAAGTCAGGCTAATCATGTGCTCTTAATCTGAGTTGTGTTGAAGTGCTGTAGAATAGATACTAGGAGGGAATATGGTGTAGATATTCGTCTATGGCGAATTAACGTTTCATTCGTAAAGACGAAGAAAAATGAGCGTTATGATAAAAAGGAATCAGGTTTCCTTTGTCGATCAATAGAGAACACAGGTATGTCTAAAAAAGCATTAAAGAGTGATATGTTGCTAAGATTTAATTAGCCACTGAGCATGAACAAACCGACACTTAGTTTACTGACTGTTTAATATGATTTCATTCCCACTATTGATTTCTACTCTGAATTCACTGAGTGTAGACTACTCGTAATTCTGCTGAATAAAGTATTGTCTAGCCTATACGCTGGTTACTTATTTGTGGTTGAGAATTGTGTATCTAATATAGCATGATCCAGTTTGTATATAAAATATCGATAGAGTATCTAAACTAGTGGGAGAATTAAATCAGGCACTGATTGTATTATTAAGATAACTTTGACACTCCGCTCGGCATTGTTATTCAAGTTTCTTCACCAAATGTCAAAATTATGGAACACAAATAGCGTTCACAGATTAAATGTTATGCAATGAACAGTTAACACGTTTAACACAACACAAATTTGTACTTATGTACTCTAATTTTTTATATAGGCTGTGACAAAACTGATTTCTAACCTGTCAGAAAGTGTAATTTCACCACTGAACCTGACCTTGGGACATATATATATTATCAGTGATTCGCCACATATCAGATCTTCAAAGAAGTAGAGATACTTTTTATCTTACCGTAATATCTGCACATTTTACATCAAATGACATTATCAATATGATTGGACAATTTATTTCACGCAGTTAATTTGTGAATTCTGTTTATGCTGGCGCTTTCAGGTTTTCCATGGTGGTCTAGCTACAATTGACTCATGATCTCAACTATTAAATTACTATAACATACACAAAACTCCTCTCTGAATATAATCATCATATGCTCACTAGTGACTGTCTCCAAGAGGTAGTTCATGGAGTTCTAGTGAGAAGCAGTGACCAATGGAGTTCAACCAGGTCTGTTATGAGATAGTAACTCACTGATGACAATGTTGGACGATGGCGCAACTTCGTGGATTAGTTGAAGTTAGACATCAACACAGTTAGAAGCCGATTCAATGGTTTAATGGTTATGCGTTCGCGTGCGCGAGATCGATAGGTCCTGTAATCGAATATCACGAGGCGGGATTGTGGATGTGCACTGTCAAAGACGATTCCCATACTAGGACGAAACGACCGTCCAGTGCTTCCAGATTTTCCATGGTGATCTAGCTTCAACTGCCTCATGAATTCACCTATCAAATTTTGTTTATATTTGATCATTTATATGTTTGGTTATTTTGCTAAAGATAGAATCTGAATTCCAAGTGAAACACTGGAATTATTTTGATTTTTACAAATATAGTTTGCTTTTCAATCTTTTATATTAACTCAGAGCTCAATTATAATGAAACGATTTGTTCAAAAGTTTTTATAATCATTTCAATTTATCCTTATTACTATTGAAAATGTTTACATAATGAAATGATCTTAATTTAACAATCAATAAAAATCACAAAATATCGGAAGACTGTTTCGTGCTAATATGAGACGCTTCAAAAACGCATAACTACAACACCACCAACAGAGATCGAACTCGGGAACTCTGGTCAGTTTCGTAGCCAAACGATTAACCTAGCCTTTAAACAAATAGCTGCAATATTGTACCGAATAAACTGTTATATCCCGATGAGAATAATGAATGGTAACTTTTGGAATCCATTTATCGACTAATACTATGCGTACATTTCTATTGTATAATTGTTAAATGACTAAACTATTCATATTCGTGTTCCTCTTATCATAAGCTTTATTTTGACCTATGAACTATTATTATACCATTTTGTAAACAATGATGAATAGTGGCTAGCAGTGGAATCCAGGATACGCGTTTCATCCTATTTGGGACTCATCAGCTGGATGTACCTGCATCTCCGAGTTGGTGTTCACCCTTGAACTCGAACCCAGTACCATTCGCCTCAAACGCCATCGCGTTATCCACTCAGCTACTGAGTCTTGATAGCCACTTGCTTGTGCAATGGGGTGAATTTAAATCCACTTGGTATTGTTTGACTAATCAATTGCAGTCTTAAACCTCAATGGGAAGATACAAGCCAAACGATACCAAGTGGATATTATTATACCATTTATCATTCTTGAGTTATACCCAGTCTATTAATTACAGTCTTCCGCACTGACAGCCACTTTTGGCTAGATCTTGTATAAATGTGTATTTTCTATTTTATGGTACGATGTGGTCTGTTTGGTTAGTATACAAACCCCAGTATTTTTGGCATACATGATTCCTATCGCAGAGGCTGAGATTGGTGTTCTGGACTCTACAGGCAGTCAGGGCCAGGCAAGAAGAAGAACTGATAAGGATTCTAGACTGTTTGTACAGGTTTTATGCATCATTGGTCCGGTCGATAATTCAGTGTTCTCTATTTGACGGCACCATTAAATCATATCTTAATGGGGGTACCATAGCCACAATGTATAGCATAAACAACTATCATAAATTGTAAAACAAAATTGTATTAATTTTATTTATTCATAATTAATTATTCCACTATTTATTATTAATTTTATTTATATGATGACAAGATGTCATTATCTCTTTATGGTATGAATGATGAAATAGGATTATTGAATTTTTATCCAAATACACAGAAAGAGAGTTAATGAAGTGAATGAGTGAATAAACTAGAGACATCATGTTCAATTCTCTCATGTAAATGAATAAAGAAAAAAAAATTAAAAACAGTTGAAAAAAGAAAACTGAGTGGAAAAAAAAAACAAACAAGAGGGTTCATCACATACTTCATTGTTCCCATTCACCTCCTGTAATTAGAATGAAAAAAACAGAAGTACAGAACAACAACAACAAAACTGTGTAAACATTAGTGAACAAGATGATAGTTAGTTCGAAAAGAAGAAGAAGAAAAAGAGGAAAAAGAATCGATTAAAATTTGAATATACAACACACATCATTTAATTAAAAGTTATAACAGCAGAACGTTAATTACTACTAACAAAACAGCAGTAGTAGTAGTAGTAGTAGTATTGAATCATTTGAATAAATCGATGACCAAAAGGAACTATTAACACACCAATAACAATAATAACACTAATCAAATCCAATGTAAAGTGAATTGTTAACAAACAAACAAACAAAAAAGAAGGCGAATAGGGAAAAAATCAACGCAGATAAAAGAGTATCCAACTAATAAAGCGACATACTTCATGAAACAAGTAACTACTGAATGATTCTTTTTTTTCGCAGTAGTTATGTTAACAGGTTTAGGGAGTTCATGAAAACTCCCTACACAGACCATCATCGCTATAAATAATTTAGAAAAAATAATAATAATAATAAATACACAGCAGTAACAACACCAACAAAACATAATAGGAAAGATGATATTGTTGAGATAATTGAGTTTATACAAATCATTCAAACACATCTGATGAACAAACATTATCATTATCAATCATTCCAATGGAATAATCGAAATCTTTTTGTATATTTTATTCAGCTTGTTTTACATCTGTTCTGTTATGTCATACACATACAAAGAGAGAGAGAGAGAGAGAGGAGATTGAAACGACAGAATCGATTCCGGAGGCATTCATGCATGCATATATATAAACATCTCTATTTACCTACCTATCTATCTACTTACCTGTATCAGGGTTTCACAAAAGAAAAATATATTCAAGAACAAAATAGGAAAATCTGAATGTAACTTATATAATGATATAGCCAGATAGAAGTATACAATAGCATCGATATGAATGATTAGTAAGAAGAATTATTCTACTTTGTTAATTTCATGTTTAAAATTGTGAAAAATCACTCCCTTCCTCTATGTATACAATATATATATATATATATGACCAATAAGAATAAGGAAACCCAGAGCATTAATGGTAATCATGTTTTATTCCATGTCTTGTTATATTCCAATCACAATGATAATGATCTACATTCTCGTCGAATAATAAAATCGTAACCGTCAACTATAATCAGTCATCATCTCATGTTTCGTTCTTGTGTTGTAAACAATGTTATGCACACACACACACATACAAAAGGAAATAGATAAACATGAATAAGCTCTTTCTTCATTTTTTTCAAAAAGAAAGGTATATGTTTGTTTGCGTGTATATGTGTCATATAAACACAAGTCAGCAGTGATCAAAACAGCAGTATTATTTCACCTTAGAATAGAATTGAAAACAAAGAAGTAAACAAAAGAAAAACAGAGAAAATCAAGAAGGGAAGCGGAAGAAAACATCAACAATGAGGCACATATTTTCAACATTATAGTAATCATCTATTTTATTTTGTATAACAAGAAAGAAAAATATATATTCTGAAAATAAGGACGACGACGATGATGATGATGATGACGACAACAACAACAACAGGAATCAGTTGAAATAACTGATTGATAAAAACAATAAAAGAGAAGTATAAACAATTGTATCTTTTATGGGGGGGGAAGAGGAAGGGGGGTCAATTTATTTAGTATCTCTCTGAATAAATCCACTTATCACACTTTCTTTTCTTGTTGCTATTGTATATTCAATATTCATGAACAATTGAATTAATAAAACTCCGAAATCAGTAGTGTAATGTAAATAATTTTTTTAGAAATGAATAAATAAAACAAATAACTCTCTTCTTATTTCCATGAAATTGTTAGATAATCAAAAAACAAAAAAGTAGACATACAGACATGTCGACCAACAACAACAAAAAAAGAAAACAGACACAACGCATGCACACACACACACACGCAAACTAAGGCATAGTTCTTATAGACCTACACATAAATACATGTGATAGAAGATACTCAAAAATTTACAGTCTATATTGGTGACGGATTCGATTCGATACTTGAAAATTCATGTCAGAAAATAATTAGAGAGAGAGAGAGAGAAAAAAAAGGAGGGGGAAATGGATCGCATCAAGCTTAAATGATAAGTATTATACGTTGGCCATCTAGTAAAAAAAAAACTCAACATACACACACATTAAATACAGACTAATCTACAGTATCATTTGATCAAAATAACAGTATTGATAAGAGAGAAAGAGAAGGAGAAAGAGAGAGATAAGAAGACAATGTAAGATAATTGTACAGTTGTATTCAGTGCTTCAATCATTCATGCATTCATTGGTCCTTTCTGGATTTCAACAAATTATAAACAGAAGAAAGACAAAATGAATGTCAGCGTGTATATATGTGTGTGTATCTGTAGATGTACCTGCACAGGTATGTACGTATTTATGAATAAACTTTAAAAATTTGCATCCCATCCTGATAATTCATCTGGAGCTTCTTGTTCATCCATTGTGAAACGATCGAAATTCGAATGATCCAATGGTCCATTCAACTATGAATTAGATTTGAAAGAAAAAAGAAAATACACATGGATGAAACGATGAAGATTATACTAAAAAGAATTATGATAAAATGTTGCATGACGATGAAAAGAACTCAGCGAAAAATCTAACAACAACAAAGACAACACATCAACACTGTCTTCTAATACACTTAAAAACAAAAAAATTTCTTTTGTAATAATCAATTAAACGTATTAGTATCTAGAGTACTTCATGATAATAAGTGACATTCAAAACAGCTTTGGCGTGAAAATACAGATATGATTCTTAAGAAACAACAACAATCGTCTCATTCGCTCTCTCTCTCACACACACACACACATACACACACACACGCCTCAAATAAGTGAGAATAATCGAAATATAAAAGTATGATCAGACAAATTCGTTTACTTTCCGTATGAAAAGTGTGTGTGTGTGAGAGAGAGTGTGTGCCTGAGCACTGGATAGTGACATTCTTCCATAATATTTCTATTTTGTTTTTAGTTTCATCGAAGCACTCATTAATGAGCATAAAGTAAGAACCATAAACAAAATTGTGATGAACAATGACAGTATAATAATAATAATATTCGGATAATGACAGTACTTGACAACACATATGCTTACTTTAACTCTGAATGGAGTAGTCAGTGTTTGTTTAACTATACCAGCCCAATCAAATCCTTGAAAATATCTAGAAAAGAGAGAAGTTGAAATGATCATGAATAATCTTTAGTATAAGTTATTATTGTTGTTTTTGTTATGTTCTTATGGCCAGGGATAATGACGGATAAACAAGTACGAGTAGTACACAATAAATTTTGAGTTCTTATTGATCCACAGAGATAGCAGCTTTTCGTCTAACTTAGTCGATTTAGTCCAAAACATCCATATCAATATCTGCTATACGAATCATATATTTCAGACATACGCAGTTTATATACAAGTCAACTAGACCATAGCATACCATAAATAAGAAATAACAATTATACAAGATTAAGCCCAAAATGGCTCTGGTTTTGAGAAACTGTGACTAATAGATTGAGAATAACTTAATAATGGTAATAGGTCAAATTCACTTGGTGTTGTTTTACTTGTATCTTCCCATTGTTATTGCAAGTACATCCAACTGAAGAGTCCCAAATAGGACAAAACGCGCGTCCTGGATTCCACTATCCATCTTTACTTAAAGAACTATTTATCTGTTATATTTCTGGCCCACACATTATTTTTCATTCCTTCATTTTCTATTTAACCTGTCAATTATTACGTAATCTTCTCTAGATTTTAGAAATCTCAGATCAGTTTTATAATGTAATCTCTTTTTCACATATGAATTCACGAGTCAATCTAAGCTAGACCAACATTGAAAACTTGGAAGCAATAGATGGTCGTCATGTTCTAGTATGGGACTCCTACTTCTCGTGAATTCAACTGTGAAAATACTATAACTGTTATATCCTAGTGAAGATTAAACTATGGGTATCTTCTGAGAACTATTAATGGACTAATATTACATATATATTCTCTATTGTGTAACTATTCAATAATTAGATTATGTATATCTATATTGCTCTCATTATAAGCTTCATTTTGATCTAAAGATTATTATTATACGATTTACTGTTCTTAAGTTATGTTCAGTTTATTGATTACAGTCTCCCATGTTTGCAGCCACTTTTTGGCTTTATTTTGTATAAATATTATTTCCTATTATATGGATTGTTGCGGTCTGTTTGTCTATTATATAAACTAAGTATGATTAAAGTAAACGATTTGCATAGTGGAAGCTGTTTCTGGGATTCTGAACTCCACTAAACGGGTTAGGTGAGCATAGGACCAATAAGGACGATATATATATATATATATATATATATATATATATATATATATATATATATATATATTAGCAATTAAAACAGATAACAGGAAAAGCAAACTATTCGTATAGCAATCATGTTTTATTCAATGTGCAACGGGAAAACAAACATATGAAAAGAAAAATGGTATCCTCTTACAAAACTATTCATAAATTGAATATTAAATTGTACAGTTTTTTTCTTCTGCCCCCCCCCCCACAACTTTGGCACAAGAGACTGTTTTGACTGTAATTAACTAAGTTATTCATATTTATTTTGAATTAAGTGTAATTAGACAAGTTCGATACAGTGTATAAATACGGAACATAAAATTAAACATTCTTAAATAAAATTGGGATATGAGAATGATATTATTTATCTATTTATTTATTTAAACACATAAATCATTATGCTTGTGTGAGGGCTGGGATACTGCTCGGGTGCCCAAACCGAAGCAGGTGATTTTCTTAGGGGGCCACACCCGGAGCTTTTGACCCAAATGTCTGATCCACAAGACAGTGGAGCAACGTAAGGAGATGCAAACCCATGGTAGCCGGTGACCAACAATAGGTTCATACGCCATTTGTTCTTTCAGGATACTGGAGCCTATGTGCATCATTGGTTTGGAATGAGGGCTTTTCAACTCTCCTAGATTGATCCTCCGTATCCACCAACCCGGTTAAAGCACCCGACATTCGCTTTCCGTCCTGTCAATTTCGTAAACAACATTCGTGGTACGAGGGGGCAGTGAGTAGGACTTCCCTGACAGTGGCTGTATACGCATGGACGTGTGAGAGCATTTCTAGGAGAGTTGACTCTTCCCACTCTCGGCCGTACCAGGGCATTTGGTGGACATGAATTCTAGTTCAAATCATAATCAAACTAAAAAATCAATCACCTTTTTACTGAGAAAACAAACAGGTAAATAGTACTTTTCTGTCAAATTCAATGTCAAGTTGGTAAATAATATGGATAATTGTTTACTGTGTAATTCGGATTAACTTCATCTAGACAATCTTTTCAAACCATCGACCATTATTTCATCTTAAAATGCACCTCACCACTCTCCACTCATTACCTTACTTCACAAGGATCAAACTCAGTACTTTTGGGTCTTATCACTTCGACCGAAGCACCTTTGGACCACTGAGTTGTAATCAAATATGGTCTACATCTTCAACGTTAATATGAAGTAGGTCAAATTATTTTTATAACACCAATAATGAAAATAATCATTACTTACTTGTGACTACGTATTTCTTGAATTCCGTATTTACCAACACCTAGTCTTTCGGATGGATTAAATCGGCATAATCGTCGAATAAATTGTAAAGCTTTTAAACTGATATACTTGTTTTGTGCCAAACCCAAAGCATCGATACCCTTCAATGTTTTCATATAAATTTTAATTGGTTCTGATGCTTGAAACGGTGGACTAAATGTTGAGTGCGTGTGGTTGTGTGGAGGAGTATACAGATGGGAGGAAGAAAAAAATTGAAGGATTGAACATGAATAATTCATACAAATTAATCAATATACCTTATTTAATAAACATAGAAACGATATGGTCATAGATATCATATGTTACAGCTTAATTTCAGTCAGAGCTGGTCCAAGGTGACATCTTTCAATGGAACACTGTGTATTTCGAGAGCGCGAATCCTATAAAAAGTATCAATTCCAACCAATCTTTATTGACGAGTGCAAACTAGCACTAAACATATATAAAATAAAGATCCATGTAAATTCTCTCTATGACCATAAATTTGCATCAAAACAGAAGACATAAGTGATATTAAATTATTTACATATGACTATTGGCTATATTGCAACCTGATTGGTAGAATTGAGTCACTGCTAAGAACTAGATAAACATGATCTTAATTCCTTATCAACTGATGAATCCATGCAATAGTTATGACGGATAAAAAAAGATGAAATTATTTTCCTTACTTAATCCACTTACAAAAAAAAGTATTAATGTCAAATTATTAAATAATAAAGACATCAAATCTGGGATGCAGGTGCACTCAGTTGACGAGTCCCAAATAGGACGAAACGCGCGTCAAACTGGATTCCACTGCTAGTCACTATCCATCTTTGCTTAAAAAAGCTTGTGACTTAAGGCTATATCAAGGCAATCCACACAGGATGCACATATATACCAACAAGAGACTGATCAATTGCAGTCCTAAATAACAATGAGAAGATACAAGTAAAACAACACCAAATGAAATAAAGACTATATTTATAGCAGACAAATGATGAATGTTTAAGTATGAAATGTGCAATCAGTCACTGAAATTGATGTAAATAGTTCATCTAAGTGATTGTTATTGATAAAAACGGAATTATTACCTTTACACATTCTTCAATTGAACGCATATTAACAGATAAAATAATTGCTCATTGACGAGAGTTGTCCTTTTTTAGTTTAGTGGTTTGATAATTAAAGGATTCAACTTTCATATATTAAAGCCCTAATTCGAAATCCGTCTCAATACTTTATCAGTTTAGCCAACCGAGTAATATCAATAGTCCCCAAACACTTAGAGGATAACTCATAAGCCAAGTACCTCGTGAATGAGTTATCTATCATACAACCATAACAATAACACCAATAATAATTCACTTACATCAATGATCACATTTCAAAACTTTAATATACAATTCAGTTTACATGGAGTATGTGTTAAACAAACTAAGATTAATTATAATAGATTGGATGAATTGATTAGTTTATCTGGTATGTACGGAAGAAATTTCACCTATTTCAATTATTTATAACCTATTCAATTAGTTGCTAGGACTTGTTACCAACACCTATAATGTAACACAGTAGTACAAATACTATTCTTATGAATAATTATAAGTTAGAATCTTGGAAGTTAATCATTTTGGTAAAAATAATATTTCTACTGATTCTTTAATTCTGAAGTTTCAAAATAGGTGCCTTTTTATTTGGGAAAACAACATTAGTTCATATGATAAATAATGAATATTTTTTGATTGAGATCATGAACCGATTGATGTTAGACCATCACAATTGAAAACCTGGAAGCACTGGACGGCCGTTTCGTCCTATTGTGGGACTCCTCAGCAGTGCGCATCCACGATCCCGCGAGCAGGATTCGAACCCAGGGCCTTCGGTCTCGCGCGCGAAAGCTTAACCAACTGGACCACTGAGCCGGCATCCAATGGTGACAGTTTCTAACATCAACCAATCCACGAAATTGCGCAACCAACTTCCGTTGTACTGAGGTAGATACCTGTCTCTACCCGACAAGGATTAGCTCCACTGGTCACGGCTTCTCACTAGAACTCCGAGAATTCCCTCACGAAGCTAGTCACTAGTGAGCACATGTTGATTACTAGTATAGGGGTTGTGGAGAGGGGGTTGCGCGAGACCGAAGGCCCTGGGTTCGAATCCTGCTCGCGGGATCGTGGATGCGCACTGCTGAGGAGTCCCACAATAGGACGAAACGGCCGTCCAGTGCTTCCAGGTTTTCAATTGTGATGGTCTAACATCAATCGGTTCATGATCTCAATCAAAAACTTAATAATCTCCACAACACCTATACTAGTAAATAATGAATAGACAATTGATCTTGTTGGCTACATATCTGGTTTTCACAGGTTTACTATTTTGAGATAGTTAACTGATGAATTTGTTTGACAATCAGTTAGTTAGCTAGTGGTTTTCTATCGTTTTAAATTTAACATACCCCACTGTCCGACCCTACTGATCGAAATTTTGTGTGAAATTACTTCATCAGTTACAGAAAGTACATATCCACTAATTGTCATTGTTTCTAGAATTTTACTCATTGGTTTTTCAGTTCAATAAAACCGATCATAATTGCTATAGTGCGAAAAACGTGAACTTAAATGAAATCAATTTAAAAATAGTATTTTTCACAGTTGACATCACGAGTCGATCTAAGCTAGACCACCACTGAAAACCTGAAAGCACTAGAAGGTCAATTCGTCTTAGTATGAGACCGTTCAGCAGTGTGCATCAACGATCCCGTACGCAGGATTGGAACCCAAGACTTTAGGTTTCGCACGCAAACGCTAAGCCTCCAGAACACTGAGTCGGCATCTAACGGTATTAATGTCTAACTTCAATCAATTCATGATCTTGTGCAAGTCTTCATCTATTGTCTGAAGTAGTTAAGCGATATACGTTCACGCACGAGACCGAAAGTCCCGGACTCAAGTCCCTCATGTGGGATCGTGTATCCGCATTGTTGAAAAGTGTCATACCAGAATGAAACGGTTGACTAGTGCTTCCAGGTTTCTAATGGTGGTCTAGTTAAGATCAACTAGTGATTTCAAATGTGAAAATACTAAAATCTCCATATTGTTAAAAAGAGTAGACTGAAAAATGATTAGTCAACGGTTCATACTCTTATAGTTCGTCCGAAGTAGGTAAGCTCAGATAGAACTGCTGACAATATCTTGTGACGTGAGATGTCCTATTGCGATATTCATACACAAGCTTCCTACGCGCGAGCTCTACCGGCTACTTCAATAAGAAGATTGAGAGTAAAAAACTTTATCGGTCAAACCGAATTAAAAGATATCTGTAAGCCACATGCTCAATCAATAGCATGTATCTCTTAGGTAGTAGCGTGAGCTTATCATTAGATCAAAGTTCGATTGGTTTACTGTATCTCAATTATACATTTGCTTTGACAATACTAGATGTTCATAAATGTAAAAAAAAATATCAATTCTCAAAATATTGACCAATAGAAAGTGCCCCAAGAGAGATCATAATACATAGAGCATTTGAATAATTCACCCTATCCCCGTAGTCAACTATATCCACAAAGTATTGATTTTGTTCAAGTTCCTTTTTATGAACACATCTGATACACCTTCTATGAATAGAATATATCTTCAATAAACCAATATTATTGACGAGAGAAAACGTATAAATACTGAATGAGTAGTTGTTTTTCCATTTAAGATTAAACAAGGAAGTTCACAACAGAGATGCACGAATCAATGTATCATCGTGATATGTAAGCTATATATTGATCATTCTGATATTGTATAATTTATAACTAGGATATTTGTAGTTCATCATAGTTACACTATGCAATATATTATCCAGACTGCTGATATTTAATCATCATCTTCCCATTAAAACTCAACTAACCCGTTCATTCATGCACCAACACCCTCAACTACCACAGTAATAAATAAAAACAAGAGGGAGGGGTTACTACAAACAACAACAACAACAACAACACACAAAGGGATTGTATATTTTTTTTTGTTCTTGTTTGTTTTCTTCATATGTTACACGACAACATACCCACTCTTATTACTTTAATTGATAAACTTTTACTGATACTGTTAATCATAACGGAAATAACAGTCGTAATCATGATGGGCCTAGACATGGACATATTACAAATATATACTGGGTGTATTTATACTGCTTGATTAACTTATGAAAATCATTTTCAAGTCAATACAACAACGTAATAAAAGAATGTGACAATAATCATATGAGTTGGATATTATTATTATTATTATCGCTTGTTTTTATTACAATTACTATTATTATCGTTTAAGTTAATGGTTGGAAGTAGTCGTCAAGAAATTATGCTCCATCTAGGTTTCGTGCTATTTGGTACTCATCAGAAAGATGTAATCTCAAGAGAAATGATGCCCAGTCACCCGACTTCATAATCATAAGCGCTACCACTGGACGTTTTGGGCCACGTCTGACCTCCTGTAGGATTGATAGATCACTGAGTACTAGTCAATGTTAAATCCTTCTAAGTGCTGACTGAACCCTACCAATCAAGTGAAACTATGTGACACGGGATCGAACCCACTAAGGAGCATTAGTCTTATTAAGATTACAGATACACCTTGCTGACAAGTGCCAAACAACAGCACAACATCTAGGTAAAGCAGCGTTTTCTGTCAACTAAAACCACCAACTTACAACGTAGTATATGTTGTGTCAAGTCACTTAGACTAGTACTGGTCACATGGAAATTCGATCGATAGAATTCAACCTGCATTAAGAAGGACTTTACATAAATCATCTTGGTCACTAAGGTCAATTGGCTACAAACTATTCTAATGTTTTCGATTTCATTGTTCATTCCACCATTTTTGATAATATTCAAGAACGTGGTAGGGTCTGCTACTGGAACGCTTATTACTAACTTTTTATAACTCCAGATGACTTCTACAGTTCAAATTGAACCATAGAGAAAAAGGTGTGAAATGCAAGTAAGCATTTTACTCCCATTTAGTTATGTGCAATGAACTCGAGTGTGTTTATGAAATTTCATGCAAAATTGCTCTCGTAAAACTATTTTGAAACACACACACACACCAAACATAGTAACGATACAGGTATTTATCTAATTAAAACGCAACACATAATCCTTCATTTATCTAGATTTTTTCTAGAAGCTTCTATTCAATTTTGATTGGATTAAACATTTTCAGGCTTCTTTTGAGCCTCTAGAGGCTTTGATAAGGGATATTTTGGGACTCCCCAACAGATGATAATAATAACAGTTAACTTCATGCTTAATTTAATGTTATGAATTTGAATTTGATCATATATGTCTTCTAAGTATCCTTTACATTTGATAGAGCCACAAAATAAGTGAGTAATGCTGATATTAGGTGTAAAGTACCAATTAAAAACTATAAATGAGTTGATGTGGATATGAGTTTGTTATTGACTGAGGTAGCTAAGCTCTATGTCACTTATACCTATTCATAGCTTACCTTAACGCACAATACTAACAGGAGTAGAATGGAATAAAGTCAGAGGAGTCCAAAATAAAATGTGGCATCAATAAGTGATTATGATTTGACTCATACTGGCAGCTGTCAACTACCCATCTGGCCAGAGTTTGCACAGTAGTCATGATGAACCGTTGAAGATTTTAAGATTACACGACTCCAGTACAGTCACATTGGCGTAGATGTATTCATTCATTATCATCCTCAAGATATTCTGATTTTGAGTATTATTGAATGGTTTATATCTTACAGATTCATCCCTTGTTTTTTAAACAAAAAATATAATATCCACTTTTCTGTTATTCATACCGATATTAATGTGATGTGGCAAATTATGGAGATCTACATTTAAGCGATAGGTTTTACATTGATTATTACCGACTAACTAATTTATTGATAAGATAAATTGAACCAGTTAAACCAATTATATCTAGTTACATTTCATTCATTTATCTTTAAAGTTTTTAGTTATCCGATATCTGATTCCAGTTATATCGTATGAATGATTGATATCGAAATATACATCCCAGCTACCCTCGTATATCGTTATCAACTCGATTCGCATTAGAGAATAACGGAATTAAATAAGTCAAACATGAGAATCAAGTTTGAATACGTATATTTCATACAATCGTTGATCCAGACAGTCAATCAGGGAGACGAAGAGGAAGTGAAAAGGAGAGAGCAAAGTAAAAATGAAATGACACTCAGTGGAGAAGGCGAGTGAACCAATTCCACTACACTTCATTACGATCCGCATCGCTCTCTCTCTTCTTCGCTTAGTTTTTTCTAATCGTCTGTCTGGATCAATGATTGTATAAAATATATGTATTTGAAATCCATCCTCGTATTTGACTTATTTAATTCCGTTATTCACTAACCATATTTAAGTCGATGATTATATACGAGAGTAGTCAGGATGTACAATCCGATAGTAATCAACGTGCAATCCTATTCGAGTCAGATAAAGAGTCACTAAAAGTTACCTGAATATAAACGAAACCAACACAACAACAGTTTATATTCTATTATCAATATGAAAAGGTATCTTAGTATACAGAGTGATTAATTAAACAAAAAAAAAGATAATATATGTACTTACGCGCCTGTAAGTAATTCAAAAGTTAAAATACCTAACGACCAATAATCTGCAGCGAAATCATGTCCTTGATTAAGAATTACTTCTGGTGCAACATATTCTGGTGTACCACAGAATGTCCATGTTTTTTGACCAATTCCAATGTATTTGGCAAATCCGAAATCACACTAAATGATTCAAAAATATTATAATAATAATGCAGTTGTTTACCATGACACTGTATACTAGTTATAGTTTGATTCTCTTAAATTACTAGTCAGTAATAAAATCTATTGATAGTCGATAAAAGAAGCTTTAATTTCACCAAGGTTCAATGCCGGTTGGAACTCATCAACAAGTGGGATATTGCTTGAAATTCTGAGGGAACTTATACACTTTGCGAAATTCAAATTCACGTCGACCAGTGTCATAAACAAAAAAACTACTATTAAGCTACTTGGATTCCAATTGATTACCTTTAGGACCAAAATATTAATCCCTCAATAAATCGATCTAATTCAATCAGTACTTAAAGCCAAATATAGATCACATTGATGAATACTTAATCTTGTGGGAAGTAACAATGTATACTCGTCAGTTGATGTCCCGATTAGACGCAGAAATACTCATTAAATCAACCTTTCTTTACAACAATCCAAGCGAAGATCATGTCCAAACATCTGAAGATTTCATTATGAATCATTAAGACTAAATTTATTCTAGAAAATAGCCAGAACCGCTTAGTAGTAACATCTCTCTGACTGTGGAACAAGGTGATAAGAGTTCGAACTTTACAAAGAAATACCGGTTTCCCTTAAGATTATAAGTCATATGCCTTGTTGACAAATGTCAACTAGAACAAGACTCAAGTTAAACAGGACTCCCTGGTAACTGTCTCCAAACTTCTGACATCAATAGCAACCTGTAAAACTATTTCACTTTATATGTGTGCTACTGAGATTCATAGAATCTTTGAAAAATACATTTACATTAATTTCTTGATATCATCTGTATTTGTAATCAATAGTTTGAAGACATTAGTTTATTATTTATACACGACAGAAGTCATGCAGTAACTTTACTTGGGGTGCCATAGGAAATCAGGGAAGACTGAACCGCAGTTTCGCACTAATAGGTCCTATATCAATCCGTTTTGAATACCATAATCAAATGAAATTAATCTTAGTACTCCTCCATCACGCCATGAATGTTTGCTTGGAGATGAATACACCAAATCCTAGTGGGGAGGTTCATCAGTCTCAGGAGCAAGAGAATAACCAGGGAATGCAACAGATGATTATAGGGTCATAGATACGAACTGTTGATGAGTTTTATACCACAGAGAAACATCTATCCAGTGTTCCATAATTTCTTATAACACTCTATTCACCATCGATCCGTAAAGCATACTAGCTACAAGTAAAAAATAAATAGAAAAAATAAACTGAATTATTTATCTATAAACAAATTAACTTACTAATTTAATGTAACCTTTGGATGTAACCAGCATATTCTCTGGTTTTAAATCACGATAGACAATTCCATGACGATGTAAGTAATCCAATGCTTCAATACAACATGCCAAACAAAATCTTGCTGTACGTTCTTCAAGATGATGACTATTCGAAAGAGAAGAAGCAGAAGAAAAAAAAGAGCTACTCTTTCTCACAGTCCAATGTTCATTAATAATAACATAGAATACATGATATTGAATTAAATACAATCAACGTATATTAATAGTTAACTAGTGATGCTAATTAGCTGCCCTAACTAAAGTAAGACAAAAAAGGACAAGATTCATACCTGTGACCTACTTGGTTGAAAGCTGAATGCTCTATCCATAAGAGCATTGAAAAAACTAAATCTCTAATATAAATAATTGACAAACTTTTGACTACATTGTTCAAGGTAAGAAAAAACATTTCACTCATATATGTAAAAATAAAAGGTACCAAAAAAATAAAAAGTCCGTTTTGTTTTTTGGCTTAAAAATATACTACTGATAATGAAACATTGTAAATCTGTCAGTTCAGCATTTAGAATATGTATATGCTTTATTTTCGTTTGAAACGTTGTTTTAAAAAAGTATCCATCACATCATCAACTCTACCTAATTTATGAGCCCTTCTGGGTTTACTGCCAGTCCCAAGCCCGGATAAAGGAGGAGGGTTGGGTATGAGGTTAGCGACCCCATCCCGTAGAAAACTAAGTCGCTAAAAAAACGCCAACCAGAAAAAATTATTCAAACCATTTAAACTCTGTCCTGGGAGTTGGAAGGTCTTCATTCAGAAGAGTTATGACGCCTCATGATGAAACCCGAGTTCCTTCGGAAGTCACGAGGTTGATGGTCCTTCTGACAACCAGAGCAATCATTTATTTAGGTACATGAAATGTTCGTACAATGTGGGACACCGGGAGAGCCTTCCAAATTGCCGCAAAAATTGCTGCAGGCTATTAGTATTCGATCGTAGGTGACCTCGAAACATTTTTTGGACCATTGAGTTAGCTATTGTGAGGTTAGATGGAGAGTAATAGGTGAGAATGGTGTTAGCGGAATATATATTGGATTAAAGCACGTTCCTTGAGGGATTGTGTTGCGGCACGCTGATTGATTATTTTTTAGCCAATCAGAGCTAGTCGATACTTGGAGAAGACTCTAGAATCTTCTTATGTAAAAATTATAAATATACTAACGTTTTTCTTATTATGCTTCCTATTTCCATCTACCATTGTTATTTGGTATAAAATTTCGCTCCTGTTCAACTGTGTTCTAATTTGGGGACTTGTGGAGTGAATTGGTGTCCAAGAATACTAAGTAATAGGAATAGTTGGGTCGTAATAAGAGAAACCATAACAGATGGGCAATCGACTGATGATGTTATGATTCTTTATCTACTGAGATGATTAGAACATACATCACGCACTACCTCGACATACAATGGTGGCTGATGTAGGAGCAGGATGGAAGAAAGCCAGAGACGTTCAAAACAACATATGGCATTAGTCTATGAAGACAATGACTATTGAACTGAGTTGTGTGGATAGGTATAGACTAAATGCTTGGAGTTCGTGAAATTATCGTAAACCATAGTTAGAGGCTTTGAATAAGACTAATCGGTTAACAGGATTGCGACTCTCTATCGACTGAAGTGACTGGGATATGCCTTATGGTAAACCCCACAACCTTTCATCTAGATCTCTAATGTTGACTAGTTTGAGAATATTTTATACGAATATTCGTCAAGATTAGAACGAATAGTTTGACAGTAATTGAGCGCCGAGTATAGAGAAGTCATTATATGTGAAAATTATATTTGAAATATTCTCAGCGATTGAAATATAACTAATTCCAACGTTTCGTCCAGCTAACTTGTCTGGACTTCTTCAGGGTAATAAGTGTCAAATTAAGACGTGCCATCAGTTTATGTTGACAATGACTGTCGGTCTTAGCTATCTTGATAAGTTCAGAATAACTGATCGAGGTTGGAGCAATTATCATGACCAATAATGATTGGGGACACTGATTGACTTGGTTGGTGCAAATGCATTCACTTCTTATCTTCAAAATTCCTTTAGAAATGTTGTCCATTCTTTCTTTTTGAATAACATCCTTCATTACCGCTGACCTAACTTGCACTACTTCTACTGTTCCAGTATACATATCAATAAGAATGAGACTGTAATACGTTTTCAAAACAAAACAAAAAAGAATAAAAATTGATCAAACGCTAAAACAAACAGCGGAACATCACAACTAATAAATAGTGCAAACAAAAATAGATATAGTTGATCTCTTACTGTTTTTCACATTTACTATTAAGAAAATAATAACTTACCTATCACGAAGTATAGTCCATAATTCACCGCCTAAACATGCTTCTAATAACATGTATACATATTTATTATCACGATATGTATTGAATAATCTTGATACAAAAGAGAAAAGAGTAAATACATGAACTAAGTACTAAAAATAATAATAATAATAATAATAATATGTAGCTTGTTTAAACCTGATTCGACTTTTTTTACAACGAATTCATGATTTATGTTAGCCGTATAAAATATCCCTGAATGTCATGTTCTAGTTACTATATAGACAGAGTTATACCATTTTATCCTGTTCTACTTGTTCTATCTCGAATATCAAGTACAATTCATTTTCTGCATGTATTAGCGAGCAAATCTTGAAGTTTTGTATGTTTGCTGTTGTTGTCGATTTACACAATAGAACTGATTGTATTAGAGTAGTAGACTAATTAATCGTTTCTAATTTCGTAAGTATTGTAGGTCCATACTGAACCCTAAAGAAATAGATTTGATGATAATCTATGATATTCATGAACTGAGGTTTTCAGACGAAGACGAAAACAGGTGATCATGTTTAATCATACATTTGGCATATTCACAAGCCCAATGGATAAATATGTAAGAGTTTGAATTTTCCTATTGTTGTTGCTGTTATCAGGGAATGCGGTTGATTAATCTCTATTGTCACGCGTACATCATGAATGGATTGCCCAGATATTCCATTCAATTACAAGTTTTCAAACTATTTGGATCATGGCTAGCAGTGAAATTTAGGACGAGCGTTACGTCCCATCTGGAACTTGTATTTATATTGTTCACGTGGGAACTCCAATTCAGAACCTATCGTATCAAATACCAACATGCTTTCCACGGCCAGCCATAAATTATATATATATATATATATATATATATATATATAAATATCCCGGACGGGCCCTAAGCCCCTAAATGCCCTGGTACGGCTAAGGGTGGGGAGAGTTAGCTCTCCATCTCGAAACCCTCTCACAATACGACGTGCATACAACCACTGACAAGAAAGTCTTATTCATTGCTTTCTCGCGACTGGAATGTTATTTACGAGATTGAGAGCACGAAAAGCGAATATTCGATGATTTAACTGTTTTAGTGGGTATGGAGGACCCATCTAGGGGAGTTGGAAGACCCTCATTCCAAACCAATGGTGCACATGGGGTCCAGTATCCTGACAAAACAAATGGCGTATGAACCTATTGTTGGTCACCGGCTACCATGGGAATGCATCACCTAAAGTTGCTCTAATGCCTTGTGGATCAGGCCTTTAGGTCGAAACCTCCGGGTGTGGCCCCCTAAGAAAACCACCTGCTTCAGTTTGGGCACCTGGGCAGTATCACGGCCCAAACACAAATTAAGTGACTTGTGTAGCGCATATGTATTCGGTGCCCCTTTGTACCAATATTTATGTGTTCAAATAAAATAATACGTAAATGGATAAATGACAGGAATTAGTTGGAATATTGTATGACTTGTACTAGAAATCGCTTACTGTAACCAAGCTTTTGTTATTAGTATTAATAATCGATAAAGTATAAGTACAAGAACGAACTAACCAGAATTGATAACGTGACTTTTAGGCATTTGCGCTACATTTACGCGCGAAATATATGTATCCATATGACTAAAAGGCATGTTTCTTTTATAGTTAATGTTAGTTTGTGTTAAAAACCCTGGACTTACAATCTTAATCCTTACCCTATACGAAAATAGTGTGGAGACTTTTAGAGATCTATTTAGGTGAAGAGTGATTTTTGTCCATAAGACAAGTTATCATGTCGTCTTTTTTTTCTCACTTACAAGTACAGTGATATGAAGATTTCAATAGGTTCATTAATTGTAACAAATCTGTTATGATACTATGCAAAATTATTTTCATTTCTATAAACTAACCCACTTATAAATCCATTTGGTGTTGTTTTACTTGTATCTTCCCATTGTTATTTAGGACTGCAATTGATCAGTCCCCTGTTGGCATATGTATATTCTGTGCGGATTACATCGGTACTGGGTTAGAGTCCCGGAGTGAATATCAACTCTGAGATGCACGTACATCCAGTAGACGAGTCCCAAATAGAACGAAACGCGCGTCAAACTGGATTCCACTGCTAGCCACTATCCATCTTTGCTTAAAAAGTTTATCCCATTTATGTTTGCTATTTTCTAATGGGTTAGAAACTAACTGAAAAATTTTCACGACAGTCTGACCTTATATTGTACTTTTAAAGGAAAATTTACAATGATAGTACTGATTCTAATTAAAGGTGACCTATTTTCATAAATGTAGTTTTTAATTATCTATACAAACCAAAAAAAATATTGATCTTTTGTTTGAAACACCTAACTGATACTTAATTTATCTTCCTGTTTCAATCATGGATACATGATAGTTACACACTAAACAATTTTTAGTTATAGATTACAAAGTTATATAGTATTTCACATACTTTTCATATATTTCCGAAAACTAACCAGTGATTTAGGTAACTAATGTCATATTTCACTTGGTGTTGTGTTTACTTGTATCTTCTCATTGTTATTTAGGACTGCAATTGATCAGTCTCTTGTTGGTATATATGTGCATCCTGTGCGGATTACCTCGATATAGCCTTAAGTCACAAGCTTTTTAAGCAATGATGTATAATAGCGAACTGACGAGTTCCAGACACGGTGAAACGCGCATCAAACTGGATTCCACTGCTAGCCACTAGTCATCTTTGCTTAATGTCATATTTGTGTACTTCCAAGCATTAATCAACTCCTACTGAACAAGTTACAATGAAAATAGGGCAATTCAAGAATATTAGACATAGGTTTTGTTCCTGTTTCACCACTAAGCTCATTAACACTATATGACCGGCTAGATAACATTTGGATTTACGGTGTATGCACTTCTAGCTATTGAACAAGTTCAGAAAATACCCAAAACTTTAGTGCCCAAGGATTTTTTTTATATACCAGTAATAAAAGTACTGCACCATTTCTAATATCATTGCTATTTATTAGATTGAAACGAAATTCAAATGTTCTCTAAAATGTATAATTAATTATTAACTGTGAGCAAAGACTAGATTAGATAAGCAGATTTTTATTTGATAACTTGATAAAATATACCGCCTAATTGAGATCACAAACCAATCAATGTTAGACCACCATTAAAAACCTGAAAGCACTGGACAGCCATTTCGTCCTAGTATTGAACTCATCAGAACTGCACATCCACGATCCAACACTAAACGGACTCCATCCCAATACCTTCGGTCTCACACGTGAACAATTAATCTCTAGATCCAGTCAACCAGCATCTAACGGAATTAATGCCTAACTTCAACCAATCCACGATATTGTGCGATCATCTTCCATCGTCGTCAGTGATTAAATACCCTACCTCACAACCGACACGGTTGATCTCCTGATCCTGCTCAAAACTTCTCACTAGAACTCCAAGTGTTACTTCACGAAGTTAGTCACTATTGAATAACGACTCAGTGATCTGGAGATTAAGTGTTCGTGTTCGACTCCCTTTTGTGTGGGATCGTGAATGCACACTTCTGAGGAGTGCCATACTGGGAAGAAACGGTCATCCAGTACCTCTGAAATGAGATCTATGTTGAAAACTATGCTCAATACCATCTATATGTGTCAATATCTTACTTTGTATGTAGCGGACTTCATAGAGAGTTATAACTTCCTAATAAGGTAAAATTGCACACACTATTTTGCACTACAAATTACCAATCAACTTCTCTGTCTCTATTCCTTGAATGCAATTTTTTAATTCGATCCTTGAACACAATTTATGAAATGACAAAATATAAATATCAATAGTTGAGATCATGAGTCAATTGAAGCTAAACCATCATGGAAAATCTAGAAGCACTGGACGGCCGTTTCGTCCTATTGTGGGACTCCTCAGCAGTGCGCATCCACGACCTGGCCTCGCAGGATCGGAACACAGGACTTATCAGTTCGTGCGCGAGCGCTTAACCATTAAGACCACTGAGTCGTCCAGCATCCAACGGTGTTAATGTCCAACTTCAACTAATCCACGAAATTGAGCGACACATCCATCATTGTCGTCAGTAAGTTACTATCTCACCCCTTCTGATACTAAAATATAAATATGATTTTTAATGAACATACCATTTTTATGTAATTATTACCAAGGATAATGATCTATGTTTTAATGGTAACGTTGGAAATTAAGTTCTCCTTATATACATACATCCACACACACCACACACACACACACACACACACACCGTTCTATCTTTTCTCTATGACGCAATAAGCTTGCTGTCTTTGTTTTTCCTTCATTTTTCTTGCACACCCACTGTAATCATTATTAAATTTTTTTATTTTGTAAAGAACGGCTTTCGTGGTAGATTCTCAGCCTCTTTCTGTCTTTAACATATATACGTGTATCTATGTATGTATATGTATTAAGGAGTGAGAAATACAAGGTTTACCTTCTTTGTTATTCACCCTATTTACATTTAAATAGAAATAGAAATAGATAAAATGATGAATATACGATCAAATACATCGTAAATGTTTTAATATTGTCTGTATATTCTACTGTAACAAGAGAAATAAAAATAACACTGTTTGTCTTTCTTTGATATATATATATATATATACATATATATCATTTTGATTGACTTTATTTCAGTTAACCTTTCCCAGTTAAGCTGGTTATGAAATCGATATTCCATTGACAAAGAAAGATTATGTGACATTAGAAGTATGATGATTGTTCATGATCATCATTGAGGTTTATCATAGAAACAAATGGATTTGTATTGAATTAACCAGCATATCTAATAATTTTATAGTTTTATAGAGTTTCCCTTTATATCTGTATTTACATATATCATTTATTATTTTGTAATTTTACACAATGAACTGGCTGGTTAGATAGTTATAGGGTAATAAACGAGAACACAGGTGAGGGGGGGACAACTAATGTATTATGGTATAAAATTACAGAATATCTTCATAAGATATGAGAACCATATAATGAATATTTCATTTGAAAATTTCACACTATTTATGATTCTTCCAGTTCACAATTCTTTTCTAGTTC